GCTGACATTTAATTTTTTCGAACTGATAAGCCTTCTAAATTTTTCAATTGTTGCCAGCAAAGATGCTTTGAAAGTACCATTTCTATATTCAACCAGAGATATACTTAAGTATGTAGTTTTATAATATTTATATTAGGCATACAGTTGAATTTTCATTTTGCATTGCCTGATAGTTTGAAGTTCAATTTTAAAATTTGAAAATTAGTGTTTTAGTAATGGACTTATAAGACCTACATTCTTTTCCAAAAAAAAAATTTGACAACATTGTATTTCTCAATATTCGGATATTTGGATTAATTTGGTTTAATAGAATTTGCCAACAATTTAATTCTGGAAAACATTATCTATAGATCAATCTAAGCCTAACCTAAATAATTATATCTGATCAACACTCATATACAGTAATTTACAATTAAAGACAGCAAAATTTAAAATTCTGTTAGAATTGTTCTTGATAATTTCAAATCAAAAATCGACTAAAAATAGGAATGATAATTGGAAGATTTATCATTATGTCAGAGATTGTTATCAATATGAAATTAGAATTGCATGTATCACATGATTTTGTGCATATGTACTTAAAAAAAATGGGATCTACGCTAAATTGTGAATTTCAGGTCAACAACTCCAAAATTGCTAATCCTTCATTGTATTTATTTTTTTAGGTCAAAATGATCTACAATATACACAGCTTCATTGTATTTACTGTTTTTGGTCAAAATGATCTACAATATAAATCAGAAGCCTTTTTGAACAGAAAAACTGAAAGGAGGAATATATTGTTAATAATCATATTTCTATAAACAATTTATTTTTTTCTAACATATAATCTAAAAATATGTTTATGTATTTTGTTACTATCATGCACTTTCTGCTTAGCTCAGGTCAGTCAAGTGTTTGCAAGGGCAAGAGCTTATAGACAATATAAAATACTTTCAATTTTGTGAAACAATAGATTATTTTTTCATTTTTGCTTGCGTAATTTAACTGTTAACATTAATGTGTTTATAAATTTTCAGGGATGATACTGAAATCAGATGATGCTAAAATTTGAACTGTGCAGATCCGCAGTCTTGATTATGTTACTTTTTTTTGTCACCTCAAATTTAAGTATTTTACTTATTAAACAAAATATTAATGTTAATTCATTTAATAAGTTTAAAAATCATATGCAGTGTAGACTAATTGGTAGTGAATTAGAAATTTATGGACTAACTAAACGTACGAAAAATCATGAACTTTTTAAACCCAAGGATGGCGACTATCTGATGGTATTTCAATATGCTGATAATGGAAGTCTTAACAAGTTCTCAGAAAAAAAATTTAAAGAACTTACTTGGAAAGATAAATTATCACAACTTATTGATATATCAAATGATTTAGTAAAAATTCACAAAGCAGGATATACTCATAGTGATTTTCATAGTGGAAATATTTTGCAAAATAAGATTGGTGAAACTATATTCTCTTACATTGCAGATCTTGGATTATCTAAGAAAATCAAAGAACACAATCAGAAGGGAAAAATTTATGGAGTTATGCCCTATGTTGCATCTGAAGTTTTAGAAGGCGAACCTTATACACCAGCAGTTAACATTTATGGACTAGGCATTATTATGGCAGAAATGTTATCTGGGCAAAGACCGTTTGATGGTTTATGATCTTGCAATCAAGATTATTTGTGGTTGGCGACCAGACTTTGAGCGTGGAACTCCTGATTGTTATATCAGGCTAGCTAAAAAATGTATAAAACCAGATCCAAAGAAGTGACCCACTACAATTGAAATTTATTTAAGGCTTTATCATCTTTGGAGACACATTCATGATGATTATTTTAATTCAGATAAACTTCACATAAAGGAGAAATTCTTAGATGCTGATAAAATTATTAAAACATTGGATATTACACGAAAGAATCCAGATTCGATGTATACTAGCAGTAACATTACAAAAGTTTTGTACAACCTAGGCATATTTAATAATTTATAAACATTTAGTGCAACTAAAAAAAACCTATTTTTCTGATTTAAATCCAAAACAACAATTTGATTCTGTTGAAATTTAATATTGTTGGTATATCAATTTGAGTAAAATAAATTTTTTAGTTAAGGAAATGTTTATAGTATTTGGTTCATATTAAAATGATATTGATATTTTTAATTTTTTTGTATTTTTCAAATTATTTTTTAAAAAAATTATTTTTTTTAAATATACACATTGTTAAAAAGAAAACACAAGTTCTTTAATTATATGTATTTGCATTTACATTTTCTAGTTAGAGATATACAGTATTATATTTGACTATAAAAAAAAACAAAGCTTAATAGAGTTTGGAACTGGTTATCGCAATCGAATTTGTAACCAGTTAAGCTGGTTATAAATTTTAACCGTTTACAGCTGATTAAATAAGATATCAGCATAGAAATGCATATTGGCAAAATACTAGCAATACATATATGTAACGGCACTCCCAATATATTTACTAACATATCAATATGCTACGCGTAAATTTTAGTTAGCATGAGATTTGTTATTAATGCTTTTGCTACATATTAAACTAACCAAATGAATAACTGTCTTGTTCTCAAAATTTATATTATATATTCTATAAATCTTTTTATTTCTCACATATCTTAAAATTTTTTAAACACAAAAAAAAATAATAAAAATAATTGAATGGACATAGGTGTTATTTCGAAAATCGAACTTTTTTTAAAGTGAAACTTAATAACGCTCATGGGTGCCTTGATGGAGGTGATGTTGGCTTCAACTTTTTTAATTTCAGCAAAAATTTCAGCAATAATTTCAACATTTTAATATTTTTTTCTATAATTATAAAAACAACTATATTATTCAATTTAGTTTAACTAATTTTTGGCATAATTTAAATTAATTTTTATTATTAAAAAAACTAATTTTATTAATTTTAACCAAATAATTTCAACAATTTCAACAAAAACTTTTTATTAAGAAGGGTAATTTCACCTTCATCTATACTCGAAATAACGTGCTCATGTAATATTTCTGCAGATTTGCAGATTTATAATATAAAAAATAATCAAACTTAAAAAAATTAACTATCTTAAAATAATGCACATGAGTGTGCTCAAAATAAAGTGCAAGTACTCAAAATAGCATGCAAATATGGGTTATTTTGTGGTTTTATGGTAGATAGAATTTATAATATCATAAAGAAAAAATTAAATATCAATGTATTCTCTGTTCAAAAATTCTCAAGCTTTTACATGATCATTCAAAGCTGCCAGCCATAAATAACTTAATCCAATTTCTCGATCAGCTTCTACAATACTTCCCTTTAAATATAATTTACCTAAATGATACTCTGCTTCCTCATTTCTTTGATCAGCTGATAATTTCAAATATTTTAAAAATTCCTTTTGTTTTTTCAGATTCTTTATATCCTTAATTAAGGTAAATGCATAATTTAATTGAGCATCTGCAATACCATAATCAGCAGCTTCCTTAAAAAGTTTCTTAGCTTCTTTGAGGTTTTCATCAATAACATAGCTTTTGGATAAATAATAACCTTTCTAGAATTTTGCCATAGAATTTTCTATATTTGCAACAAAACATCATCAAGGTTTTTGCATACTTTTTTCATCTCCTTTATAATGAAGCTCAATTCCTTCTTTAAGAGACATGATCATCTCAAATGCATTATTATCAAATTCTAATTCTTTGAATTCAATGTCTGGCATCATTGTTTTAGCACAAACGCTATTCATTCTGTCTAAGTCTATGCTTTTGTCTGGAAGGAGACCATAAGAATAGCCAGCCTTAACGTATTTTACTTTCAATTCTGATAATTCTAAAAATAATGCTAGAATACTGATTCGCATTTGTGGCTCATTGTCCTATGCTTAATAAAAAAAAAAAGCTTAAAATAAGAGTAAATAATGTATGAATGCTAATTGATAGCACAAATTAATAAATTGTACTTACTTTTCTTAATAATTCTCGCAAATTCTTTTTGGATTTCTTTATCTTTTGATTACTTTCCATTACCTATTGTCAAATTTTCTTTTTTACTACTGAGAACATGTTTCTTTATGTCTTCAGGTTTGCAGTTTTCATAGGGTATTTTTTTATAACAAAGCTTCCATAAAAGCATTCCAAAACTATTGATATTTTCATAAAATATTAATAAATATGCATTTATATTAAAATAAAATTTAAAAGAAATGATATTTTGAACCTAAATAGTTCACATTTATGCATGTAGCTATGACCTAACATTTTTTTGAGGGCTAGCCAATTATAAATTGATGATATTTTATGGATTTGGAACATTTCTTCAGTAATATGAAGAGTATAATCAAAATTTGTAAGCTTTGGTTCCAAGTTTTTTGTTATCTAATGACAATTTAAGGTTCTAATTGTGTCTAATTATGTGCAAAGGAGGCAATAAAACATCTACATACCATTATGTTTTCGCATCTTATATTATGATAAAAAATCACTACTTTCTGTAAAAATGCAACGCCTCGACAAATATTAAGTGCTAAAAGTATTTTATTACACTATGGAATATCATTCTTTTATAAACTTCTTTAAGATTTACCAACTCAGCTCATTCAAAAACCATAACATTTTTGTTATCAATATAAAAAAGACTATAAAATTTGAGAATATTCAGTCCATTACTTAATTTTTCTAGGATTACTAATTATGATAGAATTCATTTAGAGTTTTGTGAATCTTCCTTTGAAAGTGTGACAGGTTTACAGACACCTTTTTCATATTCTCCAAACACTTTTTTAATAATTACATCTCTAATGTCATCTTTCTGTCCTGAAAAAGGATCTTTTAACTCATTTGGTGCAATTGGCTGTGTTTGAATTTCATTTATTATTGACGTACTGTCATTAGCTTTATTTGACATTTGTTTCTTTATAATTAACAACTCTTCATATAACATATTTAATTGTTTACTATTTCGCTCTTCAAATTCAAAAAAGAACTAAATATATAAATAATCTTTAGTTGCATAATAAATAGATAATAGAGTGATTAATTATTATTATAATTAAATTGTTTGAATACCTTTTTCATTTTATCAAGTTCTTTTTTCAGATTTTTCTGATTATTTATCCTTTGCACATCACTCGATATGGCCAATGTAAAATTTAAATCTTTCATCACTCTATTAAAGTCATTTGTTAATTGTATGAATTTTTCTGAAACTAAGTTTGCTTTAAAAAGTTTTTTATATCCTTGAAGTTGTGTAACATCTATGGCAAAATCTTTAATTTGTTGCAATACCATCTCAAACCTAAGAAAAGCATGATAATATTCTTTCTTGTGAAAATTTTCTTTATTTTCTTGCTATTTTTTGTTTAATGATTTAAGCGCAAGTTCAGAACTTTGTGCATTATCTAACAAGGCACTACAAATTTTTTTATTGCATTGAGCTGTATCATAAATTTTAATAATTTCAGAAATAAGGTCAGTTATTCCTGATATCAAGGAACCAAAAGGTGTTATATTGGTGGTCACATTGATATCTTTGAGAGCTACTTGCATAATATCTAAACTCCTTTTGGTATATAACCCATTTACATATAAGATTAAAATGCATCTTAAGACTAATTCTAAAATGAAAGCAAATTTTTATTCAATTAAATTCTAACTTATATTTTACTATATAACATCATTTTTGACCAATAAAATTTGCTTATATATCATATATAAGAAGTTTATATAGATATATCTAGCTTGAATATAATTGGCCAGCCCTAAAAAGTTAGCCCTTTTGGTATATAACCTATTTACATATAAGATTAAAACACGTCTTAAAGCTAACCCTAAAATGTAAGCAAATTTTTATCCAATTAAATTCCAACTTATATTTTACTATATAACATCATTTTTGACCAATAAAATTTGCTTATATATCATATATAAGAAGTTTATATAG